ACAACAGTCCCCTGCTTTTTTTTCAAATGCTAGCATTTCATGAATGATTATGCAGCCCTAACCGGATTCATCCCTTAGCCACTGTAAGCTAGGACCTCATTAAAGATAGCCTGCTGTGACCATGATACAGTAATTGCTTACCTACTTGTCAAATATACTCCATTATTCTTCTTCCTTCTTTACTGCCTTGTACACCAGGGGGCCTCTTACTATTGAAGATGTATGCCAGAGGCAGATTTACACGTGGCAGTAAAAAAGACTGTAGTTTATTCATGAAGTATTAACAAGCCATTCAATCCATCTAGTGCTAGCAGCCATATCACCCTGCAACTCACAACTGGCAACCCACTGATGCTAAGCAGGTGTGAGCCTGGTCAGTACCTGGATGGGAGACCTCCCGGGAAAAACTAAGGTTGCTGCTAGAAGAGGCGTTAATGGGGCCAGCAGGGGGCACTCACCCTGTGGTCCATGTGGGTCTTAATGCCCCAGTATAGTGACGAGGACACTATACTGTAAACAGGCGCCATCCTTCGGATGAGATGTAAAACTGAGGTCCTGACTCTCTGTGGTCATTAAAAGTTTCTGTGTATTTGTCAGTGTTTTTCAGTTTTGATACCTGTCAGAACTGTAAGTGTGCTGTATTATGGGTCAATTGCATTTTATCTGTCCATCCTTTAGACTTGCAGTTACTGTGTTGGCCTCTAGATGTCACTGTGCGTTGAAAATGTAGCTAAAAAACAAAAACTATCCATTTCCTAACGTCTTTATTCAAATACAGGGTTGCGTGGAAGCTAGTGCCTATCATGGCAAGCAATAGGTGTAGGGCAGGATACACCCTGGATGGGATGCCAATCCACCACAGGGCAGACACACAGACAGAGACACACTCATACCGGGGTGAATTTCTCAGCAGCCAATTAACCTACCAGCTCACACCAGGGTCAGTTTTTTTCCAGGAACCAATTAACTTACTAGCATGTCTTTGAACTGTGGGAGGAACTGGACCACCCAGAATAAACCCATATAAACATGGGAAGGACATACAGTACACACTCTGTGCAGATGGTACCCCATTAATTGAACCCAGGGCCCCAGTGCTGTGAGGTAGCAATGCTAACCCCTGGGTCACCATGCCACCCCAATCAGATATTGGTCAAGGCTAAATACTGCATGATTAAGACTGGAAACCTTTGAGGTTGTATTTAAAAAGCATCTTATAAAGAACAGCAAAAAATAGAAGTCTCGGGAAAAGTCCTTTGGGAACATGCGAGAGAAATAGAAGAGGCCACACTCCAATCATTTTAGAAGTTTGACTCTCAAATGTCAAGTTTAAGGTAACTTTCCTAAAAGCAGAATTTTTTTTTTTTTGCCATCAGTGCACAAACGGCTATAGATCATCTCTACACTTGTGTGTTCCAAAAAGCCGAGCACATCATGCTACCAGAGATACAGAAAGAACGAACTCCAAACCTCTAAGTAAAAGAAAATGTTCTTGGCTCCGAAGATTCCTATTAACCAATATAGGATTTTGAAACACGTTAGGAAAAATTTAATTCACATCTCAGTTTTTTGGGAGTTTGAAACTTGCCATATTAAGTAACTTCTTATTTTTTCCATCCTTTAATCAATAGCTCTAAAATTTCCCCATAATCGTTGTAATTACCCAGTCACAGAACTTTTTGAGCATGCAAGAAATTCACGACCAAAAACATCTCAAATGCAAAAGCTCTGCTTCTAAAGCTTGTAAGTGTGAAGATCTTGGTGAATTCAACAACAAGGTAAAATTTAAGCAAGTCTATGTCCACCTGAAAATAATGATCTAAAAGAATATACAAACACATACTGTAGGTATTCATTGTGACTCATTCCTTTACACAACAGCAGTGTCTGTTTACGTCAATAACTTCCTCCCCAAGCCCTCAATTCTCAATTTCAAAACACAAGCTTGTGAGTAATAGGCACACAGCTGGATCTCCATTAGGGTTTGATGCCCTGCCGTTTTAATTAGGGGATTTGAATAACAAATCCAGAAATACATCTTGTAAGGGCAGAGCATGAGAACATTTGGACTGTCTATCTGCCTCTTTTGCTGAATTCTACAAATGCAAATAGTAAGCTCATTAGTTTAGTAAATTATAAGAGACACAAGCATGTACTGAGGTGAAAGAAGATTTCCTCCATTTCACACCTGAAGACTGCTGTCTCTTCAGATATACTGAGTTTCTCTTAAAATCTGTCTATTCTAAATCATACAGTATGCTCGCTTGATGTGCAACCAGGGTCACCTGCAAGTAAAAGCAGCATATGAGTGATTATAATTTGGAGAGAGGAAACAGGCATGTGATTGGACAGGAACATTATATTAAAAGTTGGAAGAAATCTAGGTTACATTGCAAGGAATAATAAGCGTGGGTTTCTAGCTCGACGGTCAACTGCCTAGAGATTTAGGGGCATAAAACATCCTTTTAAACTCCTCTAATTCTATAGCATTTGAAACTGACATTGCTTTTTATTGCAGCTTTAAATTCAAATTGTTTTTTTAATGAATTGATGCATTATTTGAATGTATTTCTTGCAAGTAATACTATTCACCGATTCAGTCAAATAACAGTAAAATTGTTCAAGTACAGCAAATAGAGGGTACAGGTAAGGGGCAAATGTCCATACTGGGGTGATGTAATTAATGGAATAGTTCCAGTATCAGAGTTTGGTTCATTGCTCTTCCTAATTTAAATCAATGATCTACATTCTGGTATACTTAGCAAACTAGATACGGTCGCAGATGGCAAACTATGAGGAGTAGCAAAACACTGCAGAGGCTGAAAAGGGATGCATGCTGCTGGCAGAAACATACTGCAAATGTAAACTAGGAAAAACTGAGCTTGAAGAGGCTAAATATAAAGAGACTTGTTTCTACAGACAGCATTTGCATCTTCTAGATGTTGTAGGGAAGAAATAAATATAAAGAGACAAAATGCATGTTGTTTGTTTGACACCTGAAGAAACTTCAGGTCTTCCAGCAGAGTATGAAATTAGGGATTCTAACTAACCCATCAATGCACAGAGACAATCTCTGGAAGTTCCCGAGATCTCTTATTAAGTCCATCAGTTTATCCAGGATCAGGGTTTTCAAAGACCAAAAAAAAAAATCAAAGAATACCTCCCCTAGTAGCTCTCTTCTTATCATTGGGGTGTAGCTTTTTCTGCATCTACAGTTTTCACTGGTGCAAACTAGGTTTATTTCAGTTTGTGTGAGAGAAGGAGTGTCACCCTGTAACCAGCAGACAGGGCCACAGAGGAAATGAAAATAAAGAAACTGAAAGGAATGAAGATCTTAAAAGAGGAGAAACCATAAAACCATCAGATTCAGACAGATACCAATGGCCTAGGGGAACTCCTGACATCCGCCAGATAGCTATTGCCAAGGTGGCTGTTCTGAGGTCTACAAAATAAAAATGAAAGAAAGTAAGAAGGTTAGAGGGTGAAGCATTAAAGAATCCTTTTTTGAAGGTCCTTTGAAGGAACAACATTATTTTATACTATTTTATGTCTGCTGTGATTACATTTGTTTGCTTTTTCTCTTGTGCCTTTTTTCTGCATTTCGTCCTTTTTCAGTATTAAAGCCAGTCCAGAAGCAAATGTCCAATTGGTTATCAGATCCTATGCCAACAGAGCAGTTTTCAAGCGTTAATTTAGGGATCTCTGAACCTTAGTTCTACAGGCACAATCCCAAATGCCGAAGGATTTACAGGTAACCGTTAAATTAGAATGAACCGAGTAATATAGAGGTAATCTGAAACAGTAAAAATGAGTATTCTGCTTTTAACGTCCTAACTTCCTGATTCTTTTATAAAAGCTAACCTGATCTGTATTAATTACAATGTCACAATCCACAAGGAAGTACAGTATCAATCCTGCTGAGCTCTCAATTGCATAGTGTCGCTTTCGGTTTTGACGACGCACGCCAAAAAAATATACCTTAGTATAAATTTAAGCGAAACTTTAAATTACTTGCACATCTACTACAGATCAGATTAATTCAGTGCCATTTAATAACTTTGGTAGGGCAATGTAATGTAACGCAGTAAGGTTTAAGAAAAACAATACTCAACTTAAAATATTCTCACACACCCCTCTTGTGGCTACTTAAGGTACTATCCCCTGTGCAAGCTTCTCTTAATTTTTGAAACAAGGTGATGGAAAAACCGGACAGAAATTAGCAAAATCTGACATATGCAACGAAATTACTGTAGCTTACAACAAGGGACTGAACTATTACATCGAAGAACAAAACAATTGCTTAATAATACACTACAGTACTCTATATGGAAATACAAAAGTTCACTCTCGTCACAGTTTTTATTGCTGCAATTTAAATATATTTATTTTTTATTTTTATTTTTAAATATCTTTAAATTATTTTTTAAATTTAAAGATCTTCATGTATGAGCACTACAAGTTCTGCAAGTACTGTTTGCTTGTTTTGCAAAGACAAATACATTAAGTGTTTCATTATGTGGAGGTAAATAACGTGAGCCTGATGGTGCTGCTATGAGTCACTCCGGAAACGACTGAATGTGGTTTGAATTATTACTGTATGTCACCAAAAAGTGCGGCGAAATTAACTTCGCAGCTATACGACTTTCGAATTTTCAAGAAATCCAGTCTAAGGTGGCCTAGAAAATGTGTCCAAAATTAGGGAATGCTGACAGACAGATCGGATGATTCTGGGATTCAGACTCTAGGTCAACAGGACATTTTTGCAATGTACAGACCTAGGCTGTAACTCCTAGTTGTAGAGCACAGTGTGCATTACCCGTTGCTCTCCTGTTGACGCCACGATTGCCAGCGTTTTATACTGTAGCTCGCTTGATGATCTTAAGTTTCAAGAAACATAATATGACGTTGCTGGTTTATTAATTACTTTTTTCTTCCTATGCGTGTGCAGTGTCCAGTAAACTCGCGTTGGTCACTTTGTCACCTGGGTAGAGTACATTATGAAATATTAACTGGTGGCGTTACACCGTTGCAACTTAAAACCACACCCACCTTCTGCAGCCTTTGCAGAAGCCATTCTGGTATTTTAATGCCCCCACGGGGCCCAGGTGCGGTTTATGCCACATGTCATCAGACGTAACAGGCTGTTATACAATGGATTCATCAAATATACAGTACTCCACCTTTCCACACTACAACCTCTCCATTCCAGACACTCTTGTGGCACTCTTCCGGCTCAGTTAGTGAAACCAGATCTGAACATCCAGGAACAACACGCCGCGAACACTTGACGGATTGGTCGAAGTGGAATAATAATCTGTGAAGCAAAACATTTGCTGGCGGAAACGTTTTATAGTCAATATCGTGCACAGGTTGGGACAGCATCAACAGCTCGTAGCACTTCCGTGACTTCTTCAAAGGCTTCAGTCAGGAGCTCAACTTCCTACGGAGAGGTGTGCGATGATACTCATTCCTAAATGCAAAATGGATTGGTTCTTTCAGCGACTCCACAGAGAATATATCTCTCAGCCCTTCTACCGTTCGGGATTTGTAATGTTTTCCCTGGTAAGATTGTGTATTTCTTATCAGTATACGATATTCTTTGCAAATCAAGTGTGAACCAATAATAACTACACCTTAAAAAAGTTTTTCTTTTTCTTTTTTGAGCTGCAGTAGTCAAAAATAGCTCTCATAAAGGAGAGCTAGAACGATGAATAATACTTAAATATGCAACAGAACACTTTTCCCCCTGCGCTAAAACGAGTTATTTACCTACCTGAGAACAGTATTGCATTTTCATGAACTTTGGACGTGAGTATGTCTCTGACGGGGTTTTTTCACGTTCTAAAATTTCCTGAACAATGATTTACCTCACCGTGGTCTAATTAAAAGTCATTTGTACAATTAAATTATTTAGTCTTTCTCTGCAGATTGTAATTTGCTGATTAGAAGCGCTTAATAAAACGAGTTTCCCTTGCCACACAGCCACATTACCTTAGTCTGCCATTTAGGTTATGAATTTCATAACATACAAGCTTTATGAATAATGAACAAAAGTCCCAGATGGTTTAGCCCCATATCTGATTAAAAACGGGTAATACTAACGAGAGGATTATTCATCCTGATTTTTTTCGTTATATTTTGCTGCTATTAATCGCATTTGGAAGACGTGACAATATTGCAGATAACTAATCCCTGAAATAGCGGGCATGTAGATCGTCTCAACGGGGCATTGTTGCTGCCCTGATATACAGAAACCATAATTTTGCATACAGTACGTTGACTGTTTGCAACAGCTCTTAGCCTACGTTTTGTTGTATTGAGCCTACGAAATCACCTTACTGAACTTTCAAGGCTGGACATTTAGTCTTGGTTTAGAGTTCGTGTCATGTGTTACAGCCTAACATCTGCCTTGAAGCGCTTTCCCGGATACACTATAGAGAAAACCACTGTGGCAACATAATAAAAATGTTTTGCCAAATTAACAATAACATATCATAGTTCTAACACTTTACAATTACTGTTTATTTTAATAGATTATTCAATATTGTTGATTTTGAAAATGTCATTAAAGGTGGCTAGAGAACAGTTAAACACAAGAGATATAAACTGGATTATTTGTGTAACAGAATTCCTGGAGGTGTTTGTTTTTTCCTCTCTTTTTGCACAGCCACCTTTGACTTTCATGGTGGTTGGAGTTTTTAATTAAGCCTCATTATGTGTAACCTGTCTTCCACAGCCCGGAAATATGTATCCTAGTAAGAGACCTTTCCCAGCCTAAGGTTTCATTGCCTGTTTGCAGTAAATGTGGCAGAGGAATTTTGAATGCTGGGGTGTAAATACAGTACCTTCTCTAATGCATCATGCATCACTTTGGTAACATTCTTTTATCCTCTGCTTGGGTCTCAATATGGTTTTGAGCTGAACTTTGAATCACACTTAGTCAAAAATTAGTTAGTGTCAGCCTCACAGTGAGCTAGTTGGTGTCATTAATGATTTGCAGAGCAAGAGCAAGAGCAAGAATTGTTGTGCTTTGCTAAGTGGGTACTTCAATCGAAACTGTGTTAGTAATAATTATGTCTTATGTCTTCATTAGGAATTTATAATAAAAATAATAATTAATAATAATTGCTTACACTTATTTAGCACTTTTCTGGACACTCCACTCAAAGCGCTTTACAGGTAATGGGGACTCCCCTCCACCACCACCAATGTGCAGCCCCACCTGGATGATAGGACAGCAGCCATAGTGCACCAGTACTCTCACCCCACACCAACTATCAGTGGGGAGGAGAACAGTGCAATGAAGCCAGTTCAGAGATGGGGATTATTAGGAGGCCATGATTGGTAAAGGCCAATGGGAAATTTTGCCAAGATGCCAGAGTAACACCCCTACTCTTTTCTAGAAACGCCCTGAAAGTCAGGACCTCAGTTTTACATCTCATCTGAAGGACAGCGCCTTTTTATAGTATAGTGTTCCCATCACTATACTGGGACTGTAGGACCCACACAGACCGCAGGGTGAGCACCTCTTACAGCAACAAACTTAGCTTTTCCCAGGAGGCCTCCCATCCAGGTACTGACTAGGCTCACACCTGGTGAGCTTCAGTGGGTTACCAGGTGTGAGTTGCAGGCTGATATGGCTGCTGGCATATCCAAAGACGCAATGCAAAATCTTTCTTATGCCATCTGTCCAAAGTCCTGCATTTATTAAAAACATGTTTATGAAGAACACTAAAATTGTCATAAAGACAGAACTATTTTGCTAAATGTGGTCCTCTCATTGACAGTGGTGTATCGATTATCTGAATCTAACCAAGGTGTTTGTTCGGTTTGAAAGACCAAGGTTCTTTGACCAAAATGGAAGAGCCTTTACAAACACTCAATGGAAAGAGTGATTCAAGGCATGCCCAAACCAGGGAAATCGCATGGGACTGAGGTTGAACATCAGCAGAACATGCTAATCAAGTGCTTCTAGGGCTGAGATGCAAAGACTTCATTTTTCTTTACTAATTCAGTACTGTGGAACATATGAACAGTGATATACCGCAGCTGATGAAAGTATAGTGATATTCTTTTGTTTGTTTTCTCAGGCAATGCTGGTTTCCCTACTGGTCTTCCCAGTCTTAAAGAGCCTGAGTCTGCAGTTACATTCTGCAATTACCGGAAGCTATGTTTCAGGATACCATTCTATGGCCTTGATCAACTGCCCCAATGAACAGGTTGCTAAGGACATTGCCAGGTACATTATTTAATCTACTGTAATGTAAACTCCTTATGGATAACACAAAACCAGGACAAAACTAAATAAGGTGTGACCATTTCTGAATAAGTTTTCAGTTTTTTTTAATTTAAATGGAATGTTTTATATTTTATGGGGACATGCTAAGCCTTTCAGTGATTGTGTAAGTTGAGTATTTGTTAGATTTCATTTTGATGTAACTTCAGTGGATCGTGTGTCAAACAGAGGTCAGGTCAGGCATGGCACTGAAGGGACAGCCCATTACAATGCATTCGGAGACTCCCACATTGAAGAGAAACTGAAACATTGGATGTTTTTGACGTCTGCGAATAGATAACAACAAATTTGGTTTCCTTTCCAGGCTCAGCCTGTGCCAGTAATTGTTCCATGAGATTTTAAAAGCATTCACATCTCCCACATCATTAAGTCTCTATTACCAGCTGTTTAACATGCAGTGGTGTCATAATGTGCTATTTTTGAGCGTTTTGAACACTGCCTGATTAACACAGATGACGAAAAATGTGCATGTTTTATGAGAGATTTTTCAACCACTCAAGCTGTTCCCATTTGCTTTACATTTGTTTACTAAAAATGATTCCCTTTCTTTTGGTTAAGAAACTCTGTCTGCATTGCAGCCATGAGGCAAAGCACAATATGTTCACATTAAATATGTCAATCTGCTGCTGACACAGGGCCAGGGGACCATGTGACTCCAGAATAGGTGTTAGTTAATCTTGCCAAAATTCAGACCGTGTGAAGAAGCCCTAAGAGGCGTTGTTGCTGTGATATGCTGCAGCTGTAATCAATAATGGAGATTGGCTGACCTGCTGTGATACAATATTTACATATTTTCAGATATTTACAATATTTTCATACAATATTTTCATAGGAGCTTGTGAACGTGACTCTTACACACAGTTCCCAGGAAACCCTGAAACCGTGGAACAGGATAAACTATGACCCACTGAGAAATCATGGCAAAGCAAGCACTGCAAATAAAGTTGGGAGACATTCCTTGATATACTGCAAAATTACTATTTACATTTACTATGAAACACATATGAATGACTATTCATATTTAATATGATTAATTAGCAAGCCAAATGTGCTTTTGCGAAGCAGGCTTAATTGACTATGCTGTGTGTGAGACAGCAGTTTAGGTGCTAAGTGTGACAGCTATTGCTACACATATACTGCACTGTACTCTTCTTAGACTTTTTCACAATTTAGTGTACCAACTGTGGAAAATGAGAAATGAGGCCACAGGAAAATTGCTAAATAAACTCTCTTCATGTGGATAAGCAGAATTTGCAAAGCTGTGTCTACGCACAAGTTCCAAGGGCGTGAACATTTTCTACACTGTGACCTGCCCTTGTTTTCCTGTTTCCCTCAAAATAAAATTCACTCAATTGTCCCTCAAGTGTATTTAAACATCAAATCTTCATCTGATATTAGAATTTCCTCCAGGGGCTGGTCCTGATACACATTGCAACAATAATGAATTGAAAGCATATCTGCCAAGACCCATGCTGTTTACTGTAGGTTGCTGTAATGTTTCTAAAGAGTAACTGCATTTCGGTTCAGGGAAATAGTTTTGGGTTTGATTTTTGAGGGGTGCTGAGACTGGGTTAGCTGTCCAAGGTTAATCTGCTATGTATACGATGTTTATTCGTTTTTACAGTGTAGTTATCAAACAGAGCAAACCCTAAACTTGGCATTTTACCAAGCCTATTCATTTTCTGTTACCCAGTGACTTTAAGAGCAAACCACAAGGGCTGGAGAGAGACAGAGCTTTAGTGTGAGACTCTGGAAAATGTTTGGCCTATGTAACACTGAATCTGTATTTAAAAAAATGTAGGAGGAAGTGAAACTATTAACGAATTCATTCTCTTATGAATATCTTACTATACTCTTGCCTTGCTGCAGCTTTTTTAATTTTACAGATAGAAGAGTAAGACAAGTAGTTTCAGTTACTTGTTTTTCTATTGGCAATATCAAAAGCCTGTTTGCCATCTTTTTAAGTATTAAATGTTTTGCCTGTAACAGCCCTGTTACAAGTGGTTAATTTGTTAAGAAAGCATTTTAAATGTGATTCAACAATTTTTCTTGCTTGTATATGGTTGGAAGCAAAATGCATGTAAAATCAGAATAACTACAGTATAAGACACAGTTTTCCCAACCACTACTTTCAATTGAATAATTTACTATTAAATGTGCTTTCTTGCACCTGTTCTGCTTTTCTGAAACCTCTAAGATGCTTTAGGGACATATTTGCATATATCTGTAGGAACTGAAATTTATTTTTTTTTTTATCTGGGCAGTATTCACTCAATCCGAGAATCACACATAGCAAAACGTATAAATGCCAGATCATAGCAGGCCTTAATATAGCGCTCTTACTTAATAAGCACAAGAAAAGCATTGTTTTCTGAGTTTTTTATGAAGAAATAATCTTGCAGTTCAATATGTTGAACTACCAATTCAGTTTAAAGCAGAGAAAATAAGGAATAGTGAAGACTCTACCACAGAAAAGAGCAGCTGTACTACCCTAAACAGACTGAATCATTATACCAGCATCCCAGATGCGCCTCTGCAATTCATAGCAGAGATTTCAGTGTCATACAGCACAACTAATGAGGCCCTGGAAGAGCCAGGCTGCTAAATTCCTTTTTCACTGAAAGAAAAGGTCATTTCAGAAACTCTGCTATTCATCCTTTTAAATTGGCTGCCAAGAAAACTTGTTCGTCATGCAGCAAGAATACTTAACAATAATAAATCCTTGTTAAATAAATCCTTTAATCCTTGTTTAAACTGAAAACTAAACTTATGGCCTTGCATACAATTGACCGGGAGTATCAGGTTTTTTTTCCCTCATAATTTGTGGGAGCACTTTGTAATTCAAGTTAATTCCAGAGATTATGGCAAAATATCACAGAACAGACTGAAGCAATGTTAGTATAATGGTGGTCTGCACTGTCATTTCCTTATCAACCTTGTCATTTTCCACATGGCTGGGAAGGGTCAACTACAGTACCTTTAGCAACACTTAGAGATTACTATTATCTTCAGATGGCTCCACAGCCGAAATGTTGTGTTTCCTTAATTTTCAGCATGGAATAATCCCGTTACCTGTTCCTTATCTTCATTACATCTGACTACAACTTCTTCAGTAGTT